CGTTCGGGACTGGCGGAAACAAAAGCAGAATATTGTCGACAGCAAAGATTCACGCAAAGGCTTCAACGGACCACAGCAAGGTCGGTTTCCGCAAATTGCAGAGCTGCCCGGCGAGTATGTGATTGAGCAGTGAGCGGCCCGTGACGACAGAACTGCTACAAGTGCAGGCTATGCAGTTAGCCTTAGAAAAAGGGCTAATGCGAAGCCAGTTTAAAGCGAGCAGGTGCTGGCTAACTAACTTTATGAAGAGGAAAGGCTTTTCCTTCTGAAGGCGAACGGGCATACGCCAAAAGTTGCCGGAGGAGTACGAAGAAAAGCTTCAGTTTTCAGAGGTTCGTCGTAAACTTGTGGCAAAACAACGGCTCCCTGCTTGGGCAAACCGGGAATGCTGATCACGCCTCTTTACTTTGACATGCCTGGCACCACAACCGTTGAGAAGAAGGGGGCGAAGCAAGTTCGCGTGCTGACATCGGGCCACAGTAAAACTAGAGTGACGGGAATGCTTTGTTGCACGTCAGATAGGCACAAGCTTCCCCCGTACCTCATATTTAAACAGAAGAAGCTCCCGAAAGGAGTCTTTTTCCCGAGTGGCGTGATCGTGTGGGCCAACAAGAAAAATGGGTGCGCGTTGCAATCGATGTCTTACTTTTTTTTTTCGTCGTTGAAACCCGATGTGTGTTACAATCGAGGGCGCGATAGAATCGAGTAAATACGGTATTTGGCAAGAAGTTCAGTCCATTTTTCCTATAATAAGCTCATTACTGGAAAATAGTCACGTTACTTTTGACGTTTGCAGAGAGACCTCTAGCAACGTCACAGATTCGTTCAACCCGATAAGATTCATCTATTGACAAAAGATCATGTGGAACCCAAAAGACGTCGCTATCTATGACATCTTGGTGATCTGGTGTGGATCATAAAGGCATTGTAAACACTCTCACTTTCTGGCTCTTCTCAATGCAATAACAGACCGTATTGTGAACGGCTAACCAACTAAGAAAAGAGAAACCATTTTTATGCCCAAAACTGCAGTGCAGTCAGTATGTCCTTTGTCACAGAACAAAGAAAAAGAAAAGAAATTAGAATTGCTAAGGGAACGCAACAAACAGTAACAAATTTGTTTCACGCTCACATTGACCCCTCAAGCTTGGGCAGTGACGCTTACAGGCACCGAAATAAACAAGGATGCACAAAAGGTGTGTAGCTGACATGGCAATTGAGCCCAGGAGAATGCTGTTGTCGAGCAAGGTAGACGCAAAGTCTGCTGCTCTAAAGGTATGGACCAGTCAATGGCAAAAAAGTGCTAAGCACACGTCCCAGCCACAAATGGTATGAAAACATGATGGAAGATGCGTAAAAGATCAGGGCCAGTGTTACGCCTTGCTTCACCTTACAGCAGAAAGCTGACATTTTAGACCATCCAGAACATCTTCCCTCCACCTTCCCTAATTGCTTGCATCCATTTTGTAAACAGGTTTGAGTTCTTCAGTGCCTCTCGTAGGTTGCGTCCTCTAAACCAAATACACAAAATCTAAACTTCCATACTGCAATGCATTTCTATTACTCCTGGTTACGTGAACTGCACACGCATAATGCCCAGTCTTCAGAGCCATCAAACGCGACGTCTGCCCCAGGCCTTCGTCCGTCCTGTCCACACACCATTTGAAAAATAGAACCTGCACTCTTTGCCAATGAAAGGCAGTCGTAACAACAGATCTATTTTGCCCAAACAGCATGCGCAGCCACCGTTGCCTTTTGTGCGTCCTTGGTCTGGCAAAACATTGGGAAGCAGAAAAAAACAGGGCTAGGAGGTGGCAAGTACGGCACAACTGCGGGCACCCCACACACGGATTTTCCAGCAGCGGGAGGGAAGCCAGTAACAAACGGGGCACCGACACACCCCCGCGGTGATGTGCAAGCGAGGCCGGTTATCCAAACCGCCTTTACGCCGCAACTCCCTCAGCGTGGACCAGCCGGGCGCTGCTTTCTCGATTTCGCGCGTGTGCGTGTCTCCCAGCGGCATGACACTCAAGGGTGGCGCATGTGGATGCACTCACTAGGACCTCTCCTTGTCTGAGGCCACGCCATTCTGCAGCGAAGTCTTCGTCGGCCTGAGCGTCTTTTGCAGAACATGAGCGTCCGCTGGTTCTATCCTCTTGTAGTAGTGCTCCTTGGTCTCGACAATCTTGAAGCCAAACTTCTTGTAAAACTCGATGGCACTCTCGTTGTTCACCTGGACATGCCTGCAAGACAGATGCACAAGGGTATGAACATTACAGGGCAATCCTTCAGCTGAACTTAATCATACACGGCAACCTTTTTGTCCCAAAACCATGATATGATTATGGGAGACGTCGTAGCGAAGGGCTTCAAACGGTTTCATCATCTGGCGCTCTGTAACGCACCCTGGCATCGTACCGTACACAAGCCACTGGCACATCGCGTCTATTGAAATGCGACCGCCACAGCCAGCACAGAACCTGTGACCTTTGGGCGAGCATCTGAGCACCCTAATTGCCACACCACAATGGCAGACTTGTAGGAGACCTTCTAATGGGCCTAGTGTGTTATGCCTACTCTATAGAAAAAGGCTGCGCAGAAAATGACACCAGTGCCCTCACCCTCGTTTGAAACGTCTTTTCACCCCCAACCTCTTACTTTCAAGTCTGAAATCCTGATTCAGTCATACAAAGAAGCTGAAAGTATCAAATCTGCTTAACTCCGCTAGTAATAATCAACAGGAATGCCATTTCTGACTGTGTAATGCAAACATTCCCCACATACGCACGGCCCAGTGGCCACTTGTAATCTCAAGTAGTACTGAAAAACTTTGCATTCCACAAAAAATCTTATATACAAGTACTTTGCACTTGCAAGACCTAACATGTCCGGTTGTTGATAATGCATTAACAATACATGCAATTAACTTCGTATTCTTCGAATAAAGAATGAGCTGGACACCAACAAGGATGCATAAATTACAGATCTGAAGGGCAGCTCGAAAAGGGAACCTTTCAAAATCGCCTAGAAACTTGTACAGCACTGCTCATCTGGCTTGCTGATGTTTTTTTTTTTTTTCTAGTGAAGTACAAGGACACCTGTAAGTGCGAGCTAAATGAAGTGACGATACTTACAGGAATATGCTGTCAAAGTTCCCGTCTTTTTTTACATAATTTAGAACGTGCTGCACCATCGTTGTGCCTGAAATAAAGCAAGAAAGGCAATCAAGACAACGCATATTTATTGAAGTGGACAAACACAGAAGTAGTCCTCTTTCCGAGCAGATAACCACTAACTACACCTTGTTTTGTCCAGTATACGACAACTATCAGCACAACGTAGCAGTAATCAAATACGTCAACGCAGGTATTGCAGGTCACATCCGTGATGTTCTGCTATTACAAACACATTTTCGCATTAATGTAAGCAACAGGTCATCAGAGTCTCGCATGGTTCATCAAGATGAAGTATTCTTGAGCCACTTCACTCAGTTGAAAGACACAGGTGGCCAGTGTTACCAAGTGCGCTGCCAATGTAAAAAATATTCGCCTAATCTGTCCCCCCCCCCCCCCCCGGCTCAAGGCAAGACGCAGTGTGAAACTAAACCACTGGCGCGTTTACAAACAGCCCTCTCTTCCAAACGGCTGTCAGTGGGAGGGAATATCCTTGGTGAAGAATAACAGCTGTAGTTCAACCGGTGCGTTTCAGCCTGATTGCGGAAGCGTTGTGACAACACTCACCGATGCCTAATCTTCTGTACGGCGCAAGACAGCCCAGGGTCATGATGTAAAGGCGCCTCGTGTTTTCCGATGTGTCAATCCGGCAGCAAACGGCGCCGACAACGATGTCATTGTAGTAAGCTGTCGGCAAATAAGAGAGATTTCAATTGCGTTAAAACAGTGAGCAACGAAATACGAGGTCATGTAGAAACGCAGCTTAAAAGAAAAAAAGAAAAACCGGAGTCGTTCAAGTCATAGCTCACCTAATTTGGCTAGCTCTCCGGCCTCCAGAACATCCTTGTAAAACTTGTCGTTGTAGCTGACTGGGAAAACTACTTGGTTTAGTCTCTTTAACTGGTTGATGTTGTGAGGCGTGACATCACCGAGTTCGATTCTACATCCCCTGTGTAGAGAGAGGCACAGGTAAGCAGCGCGCACACGGAACGAACCGACGGGCTGCAAAAGTGATCTTCACCGCACACCATCGCGCAGATAGACGCGTTTCACGAGTCCGCTCGAGCATAACTGCAGTCGAGCGAGTGCTTTATCACGCTGAAACAAGCTAAACTCGCCGAAACGAACGCTCCATCGCCCCTACTCGTATTTAAGACCACGTGAAAAGAACTGACGGCACCGGCTGCGGATCAAACAAAAACACGTAAATAATCGCGGGAGTGAATTATTTCTCGTTTCAATTAAGCCTAACTCTAACGCGAGACTCCTATTGCATATGCTGGCGGCAAAATGACACCATCCGTGTTTGCATACGAGCGATCGTTCATACGCCTCAAAATTATCCGAGAAACTGTTAATGATACGCCGAATAAATAATTCTAAGAGCGTAGTTTTCATGACCGCGCGCTTTGCGCTTAAAAAGGAGACAGCATGACCTGGTTGTTATGAACCTATCGCCGTGCGCTTGGAGACCGTTATTTCTATTCACAGCGTTGCGAGGTGAAGCAACGTATCGAAATCACGCTCACCTTGACTTTGTCATTTTAATTCATTAAACCACCGGCACTCAGGTTCAAAAGAAACCAAGCGAACTAACACTCGCGCCAACATACAGGCATGTGAAATCGACTCGAGAGCCAGCGGAAGCTGACCAAAGTTACGGAAGTTCATTCATGCTAAAACCAGTGTAACCGCTAGAACACATAATTTATAGTGAAAATACAACCAAATAATAAAATACAACGCATTTTTGTTCAGAATTATTTGTAAAAAAAGAACACAATATTGTAAATTCAGGTTCAAACCTAAAAGTGGGTCTATGCGATCCTGGTCATGTGACTGCTCGCTCACTGCCGGCTGCAGCAGTAGAGAAGGTAGAGAAGAAGCAGCAGTCTGTGGTAGGTGTTGTCCGTTTGATGGTTGTTCGGTTTTATATTCTGGTTCTCGTATATGTAAACTGCAGTGGCTGGATGCACCTAGCGCTTGGTTCGCTATGCTTAAAGCTTAAGCCGACCTCCGCAGGGCGCATTCGAACTTCGCATCGTCGTCTACACCTGCATTCACCGATCCGTCAGTAGTGCCAGCTCTTTCGCTCTGTTGTTTCCGCGCCACTCACTGCGTGAAAGCTCGCTTTATTAGAAGCGAGCATTTAACTTGTGCCGAATGAGCTGCGCCGCACCTGTGCTGTGAGCGAGTGCGAATCGGAATTCGTCTGCGACTCGCTCGTTCCGTTATCATTTTACGGCACCGAGCCCTCCGCCGCGCTCGTAGAAATTAGTTTTCGGTTTGTATCCCCCCCCCCCCTTTTAACTGCGAAAACGGCGCACTTAACCAATCTTACCTTAGGCTAGCCTGATATTTGCGTGCTTTACTTTAATGAAATAAGTGCCGAGGGCGTTGTGCGATGCTATCGAAGTCGGCGTAAACGTCCGCAGTTGCCGCTGTCTCTCAGTCATGTGACGAGCCGCTGAGCAAACTGTGCTGCAGTGCGATTGCGCTGAGTTGTAGTACATACGTTCAGTGGGCGCGTGTTTGTACTTGGGTGCCACCCGTAACGGTTATTTTAGCAACTTTTTTAAGAAGTGGTCTTTCGAGAGATTCGTGGCTGCGCTGTGCCGGCTGAACGTGAACTCGTGACTTTTGCAGGGAACGACTGCTGACCTGATCAAGTCGAGATGTCTCTACCAAAGATCCAGAATGTGGAAAAGGAGTCACAGTTTGGATATGTGTATGCGGTGTCCGGCCCTGGTAAGTCGTGTTTATTAATTTTTTTTTGCCATCGGCATAATTGAAGCCTTATCTTCAGAGAAAAGAAATATAATTCTCAGACTGCAGCATAATCCTAACCACTGCATCAGCAAATACTCACGAGTTCATTCAAAAGAGCTTATGGAAATAGGCCCTAAACTGCGGAACCGTAATTGTACGGTAAAATGTGCAGTAAATCAGTGAAAACTGTTGAAAAAAGAACATATACTAAGCTGTGAATATGAAAATGTTAATAGTAAAATACAGGGCATGCAAACACTGACACTAGAGAAGTCCAGGCACCATGGAAGCTGATGTTTGAGGCGACTTCTTTTGTGTCTGTATTTGCGTGCCCTGTCTCTTAAACATGAATACGTACCAACTACCCAGCTCTGTTATTCTGAGAATATGAAAGACTATGAATGCAATGTGTTCAATTTCGAATAAATTGGCTAGGCAAATATGGGAAATGTGCATACATAATATCGGACCTACAGAATAGCGTAAATGCAGTTTCCAAATGTAGAACTCGCAAACACCCTCGTCAGCAATGCCCCGCCGCGGTGGCCTAGTGGCTAAGGTACTCGGCTGCTGACCCGCATGTCGCGGGTTCGAATCCCGGCTGCGGCGGCTGCATTTCCGATGGAGGCGGAAATGGTGTAGGCCCGTGTACTCAGATTTGGGTGCACGTTAAAGAACCCCAGGTGGTCCAAATTTCCAGAGCCCTCCACTACGGCGCCTCTCATAATCATATGATGGTTTTGGGACGTTAAACCCCACATATCAATCAATCAACCCTCGTCGGCAAATTCACTTGGTGTATAGTGTTTGAAATGCTTTACCGTTATTACATTTATGATGAGCGACACGTCAGTCGCATGAAGGATACTCTTGCGTACAGCAGTGAGTGGATCTCGGAGAAACAGACATTTGTAAAGGGGGGAGATGCAAACGATGGGTCTTGGAACTATGCATTCAATAAAAGCAAGAGTTATTCGGAATTAACAAAGAAATTTTCATTGAGCTTGCGAGTGCGGTAGGGCTCTGAGGCAAAGTTAAGAGCTGTTCCTTATATAAAGTCCTCTCATTTTAATTATATGCTCTAACAGCTCTAAACTCTGTAGTCTATACTTTCCATTGTGGCTTAGAGGCTCACACCCCCATATGCTACTTGTGCAGGTTCGACTGTTCGCTATGATCGTGCTTTGATTGGTTGCAACACAAAAAAGCCTGTGTATTGGCAATAAAGTTAAGGAATTCCAGGTAGTCATTTAATCTAGGATCCCCTGCCGCACTGTGTTTCATAATGGTGCCTTGCTTTTACCACATGAGACCTCAGAGCTTTATTTTATACGAGGTTAATAATGGTTGCATTCGCACCCAAGGGACAGCAGCTTCAAGGGAATTAAGTTGTGGTAAGGCATTGCCCTGACTTGTCTCAGATATCTGTTCTGTGGTGTTAATTTTTAACTGCCACCTTGCTGGTAGTGTGAAGCCTCTTAATGTGTTATTTTGTAGCAGCAGTGTGTCTGTTGAAGGGACACTGCATTCTAACACGAAATTAGCTTAGACGGATAAATTATTCTTGATAACAGTTGTAAATTTACCCCTTTAAGTTTATTATTGCGATAACAAAAAGACGCTGTAAAATTTTTCCAAGCAATCATTAATTTGCCTTGTAAAATAGCTTATTGCCTCACGAATTGACTGCTGCAAAAAGTTTTAGAATGCAAGTGCGGGAGGAGTTGATGATTTGTCTTTGTCACATACCTTAAGAGCACACTCTCCTTGCATACCAATGAGAGCGCTGAAAGCTGCCCAAGTGGAGGGGATGGCACCGGGGAAGGAAATGTCATGCATTCGTCAGCACCTTGAGCACTCTATTTCTTTTTCTTCGAACTACTTCGGCTTACCTTCAGTGTGAGTATGCACGTGGCAGCCTCTTGCGGTGGCTGCCTTAACTATGCAGCTCAAATTAGCCAATGGCAGTGGACTTTGGGTTTATGGCATCGCATGTCGAGTGAAGAGGAACCACTTTCTAGCTGGCTTTTGAGAAATAATTGTAAGTTCTGGGTCGCATGCTGCGCCATAATTCTTGGCTTCAGTGTTCTGAGGAGCTTCGTGTAATGATTGGCACCATTTTCTGATCTTCTTGACGTTTTGCTAGGTCTTTGAACAAGATTTGTTCTGGAAGATTATGCGAAATCTCTACACATTGATGTCACTTTGGTGCGCAGATGTCAAGATATTTTTTTTTCATGTTTTTGACAGACCGCCCTAAGAAAATTTTCCGAAACTTAGCATGTTAGCTCCTTGGTTTTCTTGCAATTCATTTTTACCAAAAAGGGAAATGCAGACAGTGTCAAAATAGGATGTTGTGGAGATAGGGTGCAGGAAGGTCAAGATAGCGCTGCCACGGTTCTTTTTCAGCACGTTTTTTCTGCTTCCCTAAGCTGCTTTCTTGCAGTGAAGTGATGCTTTTGTTGATGGGCAATACACTAGTACGAGAGAAATCATTTTTCTCCTTGGTGTCACTTTGAAGTTGTGTTTGATGACTGTCACTAATGTTGAGGTAACTTTTTCAGTCGTCACAGCGGAAAAGATGGCTGGAACTGCCATGTACGAACTTGTACGTGTGGGTCATGAAGAGCTGGTCGGTGAAATCATCAAGCTTGATGGCGACATGGCCACCATTCAAGTCTATGAGGAGACCTGTATCCTTTTCCCTTGCCATTCAAGTTGTCATTACATTCCTGTCTAGACCTTGCTGGTCTCTGTTTGCCAAGGCAGTTTAAAAGGTTAAATTAGTTCCTCATCACTTTATTTCAATTGCACCTGGCTGCAAGATGCTTGGGGCAAGCACAGAGAATATGTTCCGTATTCTGATGTTTCACTCTTGGGTAATGACATCGATTATTGTACCTACAGAAACCGACTGTTCGCCCGCTCTATACGGATGTGCATGCTGCTGTACTCATAACTACACACGACATGCTTAAACAATGGTCATTCCTAATGTTGCAGTAACTCTATGTACGAACATAAAGTGCCACGCCTCGGAGGGTGGTCGAAATGCTTGCAAATAGTCAAAGCGTTCTCAGCAGGGCGAATCGCTGCCATTGGGAGAACTTCATTTCTCTAAACATATGACGCTGCAGCTCGAAGAGGTTGGCATGTGACGCTGCAGTTCAGGAAGGTAGAATGGTCGGCATGATTTGTGCACATGACGTCTTTACGGTGACAGTCGGAATGGTATGATGCTCTGAACCTTTGTCAATGTCACACACTTCGGGTGAGGCCCCGCCGATTGAACATCGACGTGCGGCAGACTCGCAGCCTTCCACTTTACGCTTAGGCCTGCGACCTCGAAGTGGCACATTTCAAATTTATTTGCAGGTCAGTAGACCCGTGCGGGGTTGCACGTGTGGTGATTGTGTGGGCCCGACCGACGCACTCATAGAGCAGACACGGAGATTTGATTACACACAAACAAGCATTTAATTTAAACAAGGGCAAAGGCAGGAGTTAACAAAAAATAGCAGAGGAAGAAAACTGATACGTGATGAAAAAGAGTGGCTATAAAACAAACTGTGCCCTAAAAGAACACTACAAGAGGTACAAAAAAACACAAATACACGAAATGTTAATAAACTAAAGACATGTTGGAAATCGGAAGAGATACAAGAAAAATTACATGAAAAGGATCATGGTCGCACTTCTGAATTTTTACGTGCGACGCAGTGCACACAACTACAAATATTAAAAAAAAAGACTGGTTATAATAAATTAACGATTTAAAAAAAGTCACAATAAAAAGTTCCATATGGACCAGGCCAGCTCTTGGTGCACGTAGGGGAGTTGACGGGTGCCGCCGAACATCTCGCCGGCTTGGTAGACGACGAGGGTGCCCGGAATTGCAGCCGTCTCAATACGTTGCGCGGGTCACTCCATGCTTGCCGCCTACGCGACACCGGCGACCGCACTTGTTGCTGGCTGTACGTCAACTGCCTATTCCGATGCAGTCGAAACTTTTTCAGGGGCGTACACGTGCTCCCGTTTCATCTGGGGGTAATTTCCTTTTTTTTTTTTAGACCGCCCGTGCCCCTTTCGGTACAGGTGCAGGGAAGACGAGCCGGCGCCACATTGGGTCGTTAGTCACCGGATGTCGTCCTCCCAACACGAAAGCGCTCTTCCTTGGAAGACCGGGCCTGCGAACGATCCGAAAATTGGAGTCGTTTGTGACAGTCAACTATGCATTGCTATTTTAGTAGACAACAAAGACTTGATTGACTGACGTAAGATGATGTGAGCTGTAGAGTTGAGGGGAGGTGGGCCGGGAAATCTAAATTGTGTTTTTAATGCTGTCAAATGAACTGGGATGATCAAACGAGTCAAGGTATGTTATTGAATCGACGGCCAGGATTCTAAATGCGCACATTAAAAATTTCAAAAGAAATTTCACAACCACTCTATTAAATCCAATTTCCGTTTAGTATACATTATTATTGCATCTCATTTGTTGAGCTGCTATACGGAAGGGCAAAGAGCGTACACGAACTTGTTAGTTGTCGTGGCTTCCTTGACTGGGCTCGAATCAAGCTGGACTGACTGTTGGTGATCCGTGTTGCGAACGGGCAAGCCCCTTTCCGTGGAGCTGGGACCGGGCATCATGAACAATATTTTTGATGGCATCCAAAGGCCTCTGCGAGAGATCCACGCACTGTTCAACAGTATTTACCTGCCCAAGGGTGTGAGCACGCCAGCACTTAGACGAGACGTCAAATGGGAGTTCAAGCCGACCAACTTTAAGGTATGATGTTACCTCTCTTGCTCTCTTGCTTAGTTATTTGGGGCTGTTAGTGCAAATGCATGGAGGTGGTGCTGCACAGTGTGTTCCTAAGTCCTTCTTTTTTAAATGAATCTGGAACATTCTATAAACCTTCCCCCAGTCTGGATGGCTGCATCACTCACTGAGATGGAGGCAAAAAACTGGAGGCCTGTGTACTGTGCGCTGTTAGTGCACGTCAAAGAATACCAGACAGTTTAACTTTTCAAAGATCTCCACTATGGCATCATTAGTACATTGAGGAAGTCGTTGTTGGGAGTGTCATGTTAAATTTTGGCTCAATATTTTTGCCAGACTAATAGATACTTCAGCTACCCTGTAACAAAAATTCTCACACAAACTTATTTTATTGTAGTAATTGTACTCAAAATTTTCTGGGTGTTCATACGATTATGACAGTGCAACGTGTAAGGTTCTTTTCGAGCTTGAAAATTTGGTGTTGTAGTCCTTTTGAAGTGCATTTAGATTTCAGGTGAACCTGGTGCAAATTGAAGCACTTTCCTGCTGTAGTTTCCCATCTGAAGCATCTCATGCTTTGTCGCAGGTTGGCAGTCATGTCACCGGGGGTGACATTTATGGCCTCGTCCAGGAGAACTCGCTTCTGCAGCACAAGATAATGCTGCCACCCAAGTCCAAAGGTACCATCACTTACATTGCCGAACCTGGGAACTATTCTGTGGATGTAAGTATGTACACTTCAGTATGACAAATTAGAATATGAAATGTGTTGGCCAGGCCTTCTTCTGAAAAAGTTGATATTGGCTCACATACTGCTCCAGGGCTCAGTGACACATTTTTTGAGTGCCTCAGTTTTTAAACAGGAAAGCGTCACCGTTTATGTGTATTTTTTTACATATTTTAATGCGAGGGTGTGAAAATGCTTTTCGAGCCGCTATGAACCAGCTTCTCGGCGTTCTTAGTGAATGTTGCAGTCCTTTAAAATTGATGCACGAAGCTGCAAAAGATGGTGTTTTACAGTTTCTCAATTTGAAACTTGAGCTCGCTGAGAAACATTTGTGCTGGGAATATAACGCGCATGTAAACCGTTACCTTATTATTCATTCCACTTAAAACTTGTACCTGGATACTGGACAGTGCACTAAAGAGTGTTCACTCTCTGGCAACCAGTTTCGGAAAGCAAGTGAAACGACTGAAAACAGCTGGCTATCCAGATTGTGTTCTGGTATCTGTTGCTGTTGGATGGAGGCCGGCGGGCAGATGTAGTCGAGCTCCATTTTGTGCTCTATATGCCATTGGCAAAAAATTTCTGATGGAGAGAGAGGGGGGGAGGGGCACGAGCTCGATGTGCCACCCACTGGCGCGGTGTTACCCTTACGGCTATCCACATTGTCTAATACTTCCGTTGCACCTGTTTTGTGCGGGAGGTTTTGATTAACAGGTTGTTTCATTGTTCTGCAATTTTAGGAAAAGATCCTGGAAATTGAATTTGACGGCGAGAAGAGCAGCTACACAATGATGCAAGTATGGCCCGTGCGTAACATGCGCCCGGTGACTGAGAAACTGGCCGCCAACAACCCGCTGCTCACTGGTCAGAGGGTGCTCGACTCTCTCTTCCCGTAAGAAATAACTTCGTTGTTTGTGTTATTGTATTGCGAAGGAACTTGGAGGGCACCACAAACAGTAGAGTAGAATCTCGATAAGAATTCGAAATATTCAAAAGCACGCAAAATATTCGTATCATCCCAAATTCCTATGAACCAAAAACAACCTAAAGCTGATCATGAAGATGAATAACAACTTTATTGGTTTCAACCAATTAAGTTCTTGTAATTGCAGAAAAAAAGTGCACAATGTTCTTTTGAACTTTCCTGCTTTCACCGCCTCTCAATAAAGTGTCGCGGTTTACTCACTCATGCTGCTGGTGGTTAAAGGAGCACTGACATGAAACTTCAGAATCGAGATGTTCCCTTCATTCGATTGTTCGGTGTGCATTGGTCCTCCTGGTCAAATTTGAATCTGGTCCGTCACGTGGAAGTTATATTATTTCAATGGCAAACAGAGTATGAGAGCTTAATGGAAATTGGAGTGCTCCTGCAACATTAACACTAGTGCTACGGGTTTGGTGTGATACATTCCACACATACCTGCCTGAGTGACTATGCGCTAGTAGCGATGACGGGTACGATCAGAGTGTTATCGTGGCGCCGACTGGTGTCAAAGCCTAGAAACACTCACTCGGGATGTATGATCTACGTCACACCACTTTGAATAATTTTGTGAAATTACCTAGATGCAAGCAACACATAAAAGATTGGTGAAAATATAACGCGAGCGGACGCAGCGGCGGCGACAAATTTGGCCCGCAGAGCAACGGTGAGGCACGTTAGGGCATGCAGACCCACTGCTGCTGCACCTTCGACTTCTGGTGCTCTCGGTTATTGTAATTCAAACCAGGCTCTTGATGAACGCGCCCTTGTTGACTCTTTCGTTGCCACGCCTATTCAAATCGATCACCGGTGATCGACACTTTTCGGTCATTGATTTTGGCATGTTAAATTTCTTTCTCGTGAACCCAGCACTTCGTAGTACTAGTTAGTTAGTTCAGCCACTCAGCTTTCAGAATTTTTTCGTGTTTGCAGACTTGGGCAACATAGCAATTTTTTTACAGACTTTTGCGCGAACCAATATGCGTGTGTAGTTCGAAAAATGCACTAGGTTGACGAGCTTGACAGAAGTGCGTGCCCCTCGTGATTATGCTACGGTAAGGTCGATGTTCTGTAATGAAAAACTCTGCAAGGCCAATATCGAATTGATGTGTTAGCTTCACAATTCGACCGAGTTGAGCAGTAATAATTGTCGGAAATTTATGCCAGCTAATCAATAGATAGCTGTTGCTAGAAGTCAGGGGAAATAATTTTCACAAAAAAAATTTTTCCAAGGTCCGCCGCATGTATAAAGTGTGCAGGTGGCTCTCACAGCCTGTTTCCGGCCACATTAGTATTTCTATCTTTATAGTATCAGACACAGGGTCACATCTAGTGTCGCTAGTCACTCCTATTACACCGTCCTCACGCGGGCATGGGTGCGCGTCAAGGCTGCAAAACACGCGAGCGGCTTGAAACTGTCTTCCGACCCCACCTGAATTGAGTGAGACCGAGCTGAGATTTCATGGATGACAGCACCTCAGCTTCAAAATTTATGGCGACAATATTTTGCATCAGCCTGAGTCATCCGGAGCCATTCATGGGTTTGTTTTGTTTACATCCTCAAGTTATCTCTTCCGCTGCAGGTGCGTATAGCTTCTGACCTTTGTGCATGATCTTATAGTTACTCAGGTTACATGCGGGGTGCACACTTTGCTAGGGCGCGGTGTGGTGGCACTGGCTGCAGAGCTTCTAATGGCAAGAAGGCCCCCCCCAGAGCACATCTTGGCCCTGATTACGGAGCAGTGCGAAACATTTCAGAACTGCACGCAATATTGTCCTTTTTATTTATTACGATATATGCAAAGATGTAAAGGAATATGCTTGGATGCATATATTGGAATGCCAACCTATGCTTAATGAGGTGGCTCATGGAGAGAGGTGACACTGAATTGCGAAGTTCATTGGACATCTCATTTATAGAGGGATTATTCACATCACGGGTATCCATATATATTGGAATACATGGAGACTCTCATCGCAAGGCACCAAAATTTCACTGAGAAGAGTGTACAAGTACACTTGTCTCACAAAAACCAAGCAATGCTTCACCGCATGGCATGAGCAATGAAGCAGCACCTCGGTTCTGATTTTCTTTGTCTATATGAAGAGAAACATTTTGTACGACTATAATTATTTTTATACTGTTTCTGGGTCATTTATCTACAAAATGTATAGTATGAATTTTCTTTGTTTTGAATATTTGTGCATATATAGTGTTTTTTATTGCACTGTTTACCAGCTGGTGATGAAAAATTTCATTTTTCACAATTTCCTTCATTCTAAAATATTTTTTTTGCTCTGCAACATATATTTTTTGGAAGGAGCATATCGTTCTGCAAAGTTTGGTATGCTACAATGCGTGCTGGAGTATTTCTAAACTGGCAAAAATGATCTTCCCGAGATATATGAAAAAGAACGATTCTCGTGCGGTAACGAAAGAGGCCGTGAGCTTTGTTGTGCTGTGCAAGTAGTTCGCAATTATGCCGACGCTTTTTCCGCCATGTTGAATTAGCAGGTGGTTTTGCAAGTTCGCAGAACTCATTCGCAATACTTGTGTCCATGTGGTTTTAATTGTTGATGAATTTGCCAGTGTGCTGTCAATTGCTAGCTTCCTGGTTTGCTCAATTGGTAGAGCGACCACCCCTGTAAAGGCACTGGTCCTCGAATCGAGCCCAAGAACAAATTTTTCGGCAACCAAGAAGCTTTTCTTTCTGAAAAATTCATAAGGATCTCCTTGTGGTTTCGTGCTACAAATGGGTGGTTGTCTTCCCTTTCTTATGGCTGGTTGTTTGCATCACGTGGTTTGAGAGCTAGTGCAGCTGGTGTAGCCAAAATCGCAAAGCGAAAAGGCGATCTGCGAAAGAAATTGGTCTCGGACTATTTTCCTGGCCACTTAGGCCGCAAAGCAAGGGAAATTCTGGCAAGTTTTGCCGCATTCGCTTCCTTCGAGACCAAGTGTGAATGGCTCTTTCTCCCACAGACAAGCGACGTTGTGCCGTTTGCGTGCAGCAGTCAATCGCGCGTTCCTGTCAACCATGATAGCTGGAAAAACCATTTGTATAACATCATATCAAGGCGTATATTATATAATGTTCATCATAAGCAACCTTAAAATTCGTATCATTGGGAAATTCGCATCAACCGTAATCATATTATCGTGATTTTGCTGTATTAGTAAGTAGTAGGCTTGTGCAAATATTTGAATGCTTCGAATAGTCGAACGAATAGTAGGGTATGTGAATTCGCTTCGATTCGAATTTGTTGAAAATTTCGAAGTATTCGCAAGGAACGAATAAATGCATACTAATCCGAAAGTACCGCCTGTAAAGGTGGTTTCACTGCGGTGTAGAGGTGCTAAACCGTGATAGAACCTATCCAGGAGAAATTCACTTTGCCGTGAAGCCCTCCTTCAAATTTAAAGGGTCCCTGCAACACTTTCTGAGCATTGCAAGAAAATGCTGCTGATCGGTAGCCGAGGCTACCGAGGACACTCAAACCAAACATTATAGCGCAGCACGCGCTGGGCGATTCACAAGTTCTCAGTCAGCTGAAAATTGCTCTGTTCTCTCGGCCAATGACTCCACAAGCTCAGAAAGCATGCAGGACGTATTTTCTTTCCTCATGCTATTCCTCCCAGCTTAGCTTTTAGCACTTTCGTTGGGACGAGAAGAGAGAATTCACTTGCAATGTGTGAAAGATCTTTGCAGCTCCATGCGTACTGGAAGGATTCTAAAAATTTGTGAGGCGGTGTAGTCATGCGGCAATAAGCTTCTTTAGCGAATTCATTCCATGGCTACTTGAAGAACTGTTGTAAGGCCTCTTTAAATAGAAATATTACCCTGAAATTAGTTCATTTTATGAAGCTTAAAAGCTTGATATGATGGCTTATATGCTCCAACTATAATAAACTTTAAAATGTTACTTACTATAAGGGTTATGACTCGCATCTTGCCGAAAGTGAAATCCTGCTATTGCTCAAAGTTATTTCAACTTCTTTTGTACGGAAAAAAAGGCATTTGCATACAGGCCCTGTTTCTATTTTTTAAAAATATTGTGCAGGTTAGTTAGGTCATGATAAATATGTCTGTTTTTCTTCATTTGTCATATGTACTCTTCGAGTTCCATTTGAAATTATTCGACCAAAATCGCTATTCGCTTCAACATTAAAATTCACTATTTACACAAGCTTAGTAATTATTGCACCTAGAGTTGAATGACATCATTGCATAGTTACATCTGACGTAAAAAGCCCTTAATTATATTCAGCATTTATTGTAAGCATGTACTGCTTGAAACCTTGTTGATCAACCAGGCTGCAGATGCTGTATGTGGCAGTTGCCTTAATGGCTTACCATGTAGGTTGCTAGGGCTCTTTGTCTTGCTGGTAATCTGTGGTAAGTGCGAAGGTTAATCAAATTGAGCTGGCCATTGTTCCCTGCGCTATCTGATTATGTTATCTCAATGTTTTGGAGGCACATTGAAGTGAGAGGCAGTGCAAGGAGATGTTTTTTTTTACAAACAGCAGCTTGTAGGTAAGAAAAATGTGGCTTGAAGTAACCATTGGGCGATCGTTAAAAGCTTTAATTTGCGGTAGTTTCTTCCTGTTCGCATATTTAAAACCTTGCAAAGACTAAGCATGTAGTTCTATAAGCATGCACAGGGTTCCACTTCAGGGAGGGCAAAGGTCAATCGCCGCACCTGCCACCCTATCATTCCAATTGCACCCCCCTCCCCCCCGCCTGTCCTCCCTCGTGCAGACGCCTGTATATCGTTTGCACTATTTTCCAATTCTAACTAAAGGGGGCCCTGAAACACTTTTTCAAGTAACCATAGAATGGATTCACTAAAGAGCTTATTGCCTCACGAATTCAAAGCGGCAAAAATTTTAAGAATCCATCTAGTACGAGTGGAGTTGCTAAGAATTGTTGCACGTTGAAATCGCGTTCTCTCTTCTCTGGTCTCGGCGAAAGCGCCGGAGGCTAAGCAGGGAGGGATAGCAGCGGCAAAGATATGTTACGCATGCCTCATGACCTTGAGCACTTTTCCTTTTTTTTTCCTTGGAATGCGCGGCTTCTTTCATGCACATACGTTGCGGCCTCCTGCGGCGATCCCTGTAACGATTGAGTGCGCCATGTTCAAATCAGCCAATGGCTGATAGATGGCCTTCTATGTGCGATTTTTGAGCCTCTTCTGGATTTCTCGAGAGAAGAGAAAGCAATTCTAGCTAACTTTGATAATTTATTGTGAATTCCAGGCCGCATGCTGCACTATATTTTTCGCTCTCGTGTTCTCGAGAGCCTCTGCTACCGATCGGCAGCGTTTTCTGACCATGCTCAAGAAGTGCTGCATAGCCCCTTGAAGAGACAGCATCTTTTATATAGTTGTGTCGGCAGTGAACAAATAAATTTGATTGCTTGATGTATCCATTCATCAGTTGCATCCATATTAACCACATCAGCGTTGGTCTATACGTCGAAGCTTCATTTTATAATAGCGCGCACATCAACTGTGCTCATAGAGAAACTGGTGAACGACTATAGACAGTGCACGTTGCCCCAAGGGGTGTTCTTGCTTGAAACAGATGCTCAAGCACGCATAAATTTCTTATGCAGCTTGCACCTGTGTTCGTTTTCGTTATTGCATATGGCAGCTGACTGTTGCATCTTAATAGAGCAACTCAAGGGAAAAAGACCTCTCCTCTTCTTTTAGTTCACTCCTCTTCATATGCAGCCTGTTCGCTTAGTCCCATCAATAGAAGTCAGCTGCACTTAGTTTTAAGAGATGGAAAAGTAGTGCCAAGCTGTGTCTTGCGGGTGTTTGTTATGGTTATTAGAAAGTGAACCTGCTTGTCTACCTTTACCCATTGTCTCATAAATGTAGGGACTTCAGCCTTATTGCTTTCAAACCTTATAGACAGTGCTAGTGCCTGCAATAGCAGGTTATATGTCATTAGCCTATGTCAGTGCGTATCTGGTGTCACTCGCTGGAGGCTGCCAAAGGTACACCTGCATTTGCCTAGGTGCAACCTATCATTGTGCGAGGGAGTGGCTAATGGATCTCGCAAATTTAGACTTTTTCGAGAAATTCGGTTGTATTGGTTCATGGCTTCCTATCCTAAAGCCAAGTCACAAAGAATCCCAATTTTTTTAGGTGGTAAGTCATGCATTGCAGAATTAGAAAAACAGTTATTGCAGGTATCTCTTATTTTTGTTTTGTAAGTCTATCCTGCAATGGTTTTCTATTTGGATCAACTCGGTAACATGTTGTTAGTTGCAACTTGTCAAAAATTGTTAGTACAAACTTTTGTCACATTTATAACATGTTTAGAAGCTTAGGCTAAAATATTCCTGATGCAGTGATTAGATAGCAGGTTGCTGGTTGAAAATTACTAGCTGGCAGTGGTTATATCTATAGCGTAGGCACGGTTTTATCGAATATGAATCGATAATGCTCCCTTCTTTTAATCTGTTTTTGTAGCAGATGTTCGCGAAGCTTGCTCTAAGTGCATGCTTGCTGATTGTAAGATGGAACTCCTTTTTAGGTGCGTCCAGGGAGGCACAACTGCTATTCCCGGTGCCTTTGGTTGTGGAAAAACTTGCATCTCCCAAGCCCTGTCCAAGTATTCCAACAGTAATGTGATTGTCTACGTCGGCTGTGGAGAGCGAGGCAATGAAATGTCTGAAGTACTCAGAGACTTCCCTGAGGTAACCACCTGCACAAGATTCTCATTCAAGGCGTTATTATGAACTTGACAACAACTTGTAGGCCATGCTCGGTGGCCCTTACCACACTCTTATGCACTGCAGCCATTCAGCCTAGCTAACCCAACTAACTTCAATTGAATTTGGCTACAAAACCTTTGAAGAATTACGTTTGATATGGACCTTTAGTTAGTAGCTTTCTAGGCTTAGATCAGGGCACACTGTTTCATTTCGAGAAGTTTCTAGGCAGCATAGTTACACTTTTATTCACCTAACATCGTCGTAGTTTGTAAACTTGCGTATACAGTTAGCGTACCTCATTGTATTGCTGTAAAGTCAGTTTAACGATGAAGTTCTGTGAAATACAAGGTGCTAGTGCTACTTCCAAACTGCTCGCTGTTTTCGGGCCGTGCATTTCAATATGTCCATGTGCTAACTGTTCATTGTTATTGCTGTTTTTCAGCTCAAGATTGAAAAAAATGGGAAGCAGGTGTCAATTATGGACCGTACTACGCTGGTTGCGAACACGTCAAACATGCCTGTAGCTGCCCGTGAGGCATCCATCTACACTGGTACGCAAGGAAACTACAGACCCTGTCTTTTTTGCTGCTTTTCTTTCACAAGTGTCACAAAACATTTGTCTTCCTTTTATAAGATTGCCGTACCATTGGCAATTTTTTTTTATAACTCATGTGTTGTGTGATGTGCTGTCACATGCGTGACTGTGTAGTGAGAGATTTGCTAACTAGCTCTACCAACTAGGAATTCATTGCTGGAAATGAAATTGAGATGCTAAGTACTAGAAGTGCCGTTGATGCTCCCCCCCCCTTTTCTTTTTTTTTACTTTAGATGCAGGCTTTTCCTTCAAGCATAATGTATTGTACCTGTGTGTGTTTTGTGTTTGCGCTACCGACCTCTGAACAGAGGTCACTGTTGCTGTGGCTACGTAAAAAAAACCGCCTCGCTGTTTTTAGACTCGAGGGCTTTGACGAGATATTTGTGCTGATGCCATATCTCCATAGCATTTGTCATTGACAACATATTATCATTATTCATACAGGCGTGTGTCCAGTGAATGTAACTGGTTCGTGTTGCTCGAGTAAGATGTATTGTTACGAGAGACAAGGGGATTGAAATTGAGCTTGAATTCTCTACTGTGGCCTGTTGTAGAGCTTTATTGCACGCAAACTTATTTTCATTTATTTTTTTCCCCCAGGCATTACACTTGCAGAGTATTTCCGGGACATGGGCAACCATGTAGCTATGATGGCCGACTCCACCTCTCGATGGGCAGAGGCTCTGAGAGAAATCTCGGGACGTTTGGCTGAAATGCCAGCAGGTCAGTAAAAACTTTAATGAAAGGATCCTCTAATAGCCAAAGGAAAACAAAAATATGGTTATGGTTCACTCTGGTAATGCGGAAAATGTCCCAGGGGAAGGGTGCTATCTCCTTGTGCTTTTCCCGTTGGAATGTCTGTCTTCCAATGTGTTATGGAACTGTGTCCCCATGGAGGAAGTTCATTTTAGGGACAATGAAGGAGCACCATCGTTTCGTTACAGATTGGTGGAACTGCAACGGTAACTTGTTCCTCTGTAAACGTCTTATGGAATTGAACTGACACATGCACACAGTATCACACCGAACACGTAGCACTAGTGTCGATGTCGCAGGGCAGTCTATTTTCCATTTTTTTCTCCTTAGCTTTCCTACGCTGTTTGACATCTAATGAAAAAAACTTCCACGCGATAGATGCCGTTCAAATTCGGCCAAAAAGACCTATGCATACCAAGCGATCGAATGATGGGCACATCTCGATCTTGAAATTTGATGTCAGTGCTTCTTTAATGAAACAGTTGAGCATCCACCACTGCTGTGGGAGGCAGAGAATCGCTTCTTCCAGGCACTTACCTACTGGCTAAATAGGTACAAGTGCACTTCCGGCGTGCCGCGCAGCGCAGATTTAAGTCACTTGGGGGCACCCACCCCGTAGGAAATCGGTGATATGGGACCGCCAGACCTAAAATTAAGGTCCTGTTCTTTTTTTTTCACGCTCACAGATTAGCATTTTTTATTGCATGTGCCAGCAACCCTGTTGAGAATGTGGCACTGCCAGAGTAAATTCCACAGTTATGCGCACTCAAATATAACCATATGCCATCCTTGAAGCAGTATGAGAAATGGATGTGGAATGGATTTCACAGTTCAATTGAAAGTGCAGCACATCAAAATCTGAATTTTGTATTCGCATTGCCCAAAGCCCAATACAGTGCAATGTTCATGCAAAAATAGGGTATCGGAGAAAAAGCTGCACATGTGCAGCTTGACTAGGCTCTGGTCCCCCGTACAGCAGCAGTGACAGTATGAAACATATTGGTATCAAAAATATTATTGTCCGCAATGTTGTAACGAAAAACAAAAATGGCAAACAGCAAGACAGATTAACTACAGAAATAACTTTATATAATGAATAATGAAAAAAAAAACATGAACATTACAAACTATTGCTAAAGATACAAGAGATAGAAACTATGGCTAAAAACTACTAAGGAATCATAAGTTGTTCTGCACATTCATATAAAGACATGCATTACAAAGAGAGATCCAGCAAGCTTTTGTTAGTACTGTTTAAAACATCATTTTCTTGGTATAGTTCATTTAGGATGAATGCGAGTACATGATAGTTTTTTCTTCCCCATAATGAGCACGGGCAAAAGGAACGTTATATGGAGGGGGATACCTGAAAGGATGAATACTAGTAACATAGCGCAGCAGCACAGCTTTCTTTAGGGCAAGTTAGGTGTTGAAATGCTTCACGAAAGCCTGAGGTGTCAACAACAGCAGCTGAGAATTCTTTGTTACAATATTAGCATGGGTACTTGCACAAATTATGCGCAGTCCGACCAGTTCACTGGTATTTGGCATTTTCGATATCCTAGATTACTTACACTCCCAGCTGTGTCAGTGGTCGGCTGTTGCGGCAGGAAAGAATGGCAAGGTGGCACCGCGAGTGCAGGCACACGGGTAGGCAGCCATCGTGCGCGTAGAAGTCGGCAGTCAGGTGCACCAAGTGAAAGATTCGATTCACAGAAAACGGTTTTCTTTTACTCCTTATGTTATGCTAAGAACGTCACAATTAGCAATATTTTGGTATTCAACCATGGCAGGAATATCGCTGGCTCATCTGCATGGTGTGTCTTATTCGGTTTGCGCCGTTTATGCAACAGTGTGCCAACGTCCGCCCTAGAGAGACTGATGACGGTACCGAACCTGAAGTCAATTGCAGACTTTCTGCGTATGGACAGTAGTGTTATGAATGATACAGATCGAATGACGCATCAGTTGACAGTGCAGTCAGCCTCCTGATTACTCGGCAGTGTTCTCAGACTCCCAAGTAAATTCTCTCTCCTCACTGTGTCAGTGTTTCTTTTAGGTTGCATTTTGCCCTCTAATGTGATTCAGTGAGATCATTTGGTTCATATTGAAATGTTGCTCTTGAGGATTTAGAATCTTGTTTTTCCATGCAGATTCTGGCTACCCTGCCTACCTGGCTGCTCGGTTAGCATCCTTTTACGAGCGTGCCGGTCGGGTCAAGTGCCTTGGTAACCCCGAGAGAGAAGGCAGTGTCACCATTGTGGGGGCGTGAGTATTGTATTTCTTCTTACTTCATTGAACACTTCTGGGTGGGTGAGGGGGGGTTTGTAGCAATTTTCTATTGATTTTGTGCGGAGTTACGTAAAAAAAAGGAAATACAAATTTAAAACTGCTACTGCTTTACTGACATAGATACGTACCCTCCGACCTGCTATAATAAAGGGTGCAAATGAAAACGTGAGATGGCAGGCAATATTATGCCATCCCAAGATTTTGCATTTGCTGACAAACGATTGAACCTGCTTCTCTTAGACAGCGCAGTCCAAGATTATTGGCAAACATATTTGTTCTGCAGAGGATGTGAAGTAGGTCAAAAGTAATGGTTACAATAAAAGCTTGTTAATTCGAACCGCAAGAGGAAGCCACCTCAGTTCGAATTAACGAAAGTTCGAACTAACGAAAGTGAAGAAAAACAATAGTACACTGCAAGTAAAGCATAACAATTTATTTTTTGAAAAAATCTGTGATCGTGGTCTGCCTTCTTTCCTTGAATGTGACAGCCTGCACTTTTTGCTCTAACGAGCGAATTTGGCAGAAGGCCTCTTCTTCGCCTTCTTCAAAACTTAAGGGGCACACTGGTCTTAGAAACTTTTTTTTTGCTTTCCAACCAATTTTAATGAAACTCCATGGGCTTGTTCAGTTTTTTTAGCTGATTTCAAATATCCAATTAGTTCTGATGTAAGCTAATTAGTTCCTGAGATAATTGAAAATCTTTCGTGATTGTTCTTGAGAACAATAGAAAAAAAGCTAGTCAACAAAATATTATCAGCATGGCATGAATAGATACTAGAAGTTGTGGAGAATGAAATGACGGAAGCAGTTTTTTTGTCTGGCAATCACACATGCAAGTTTACATCAATTCTAATTTCTCGGTTTAAAGTATGCCTGCTAACCAGTTATTCAAACAATTATTTAAACGTGAAATGCAAAATCTGTTTCCCTTACTTCAAGGTTTAAACATTCAGCTTGACAATGCAAAAGAAATTATCTTTCTAGCTGCACCGCATGCCGAGATGTACCTCTCAAGAATTTCCTAAACGTCAAAAATATGCATTTTGAGAAAATGGCAAAAAACACAACGGTGCCATGTTTAATGTAAACGGTAAAACATTCTGTACATTTTTGGAGCGAAATGACTAGTAGGCCCCAGAAGCATAGTCCCCTTGACTGCTGGCATCCAGGTGCCGCTTCTTGAGTGTCCGCTGCACATTTTCTGCAGACGCACGCCTGAGGGTAGACGCTGGTTCGGCGGCGGTCTTTTTCAGCCATGCGTTTGCTACTCAGTAGGCCGGGGTTCAAGCACAGCTCTTTGAGGATCTTGGATGATGTTACTTGACTTCCGGCATTAAACCTCATCACTGCCTCGGCGACCGCAGCTTCTACACTGTGCAGTGATGCATGGCGCTCCTTCGGGGCCAGCGACCAAATCACAGAGTGGAGACTTTCATTACTGTTCTGAGTCTTGCCTCGCTGGCAGCGCTCCAGCAGCTTCTTGTCCGCCAAGCGTTCGTACACTGGAAGCAAGGCCTCAGACATGCGGCAGCAGGTTGTAGCGGTGTTTGGGGGCCGGCTCACCCCTGGCCTTGGCAGCGTTCTGGCGGCACCACGAGTCAGGACCTGTAGGGCACAGGCTGTGGTTGGACATGGCATCGTTGGACGTCACATGGTGGTATGTGGCCATCACAGCATTTTGCATGGCTGGCACGTCCCCTTTGTGAGATTTGATGGCCCAGCCATAGTAAGAGGTCAATTGTTAACCAGGTCACCAGTCAGCCGCCCCCTACCACTGAGGCTCTCAGAGCCAGCTGGCCTCTGCTTGGGGTGATTGTGCAGTTGTGTGCCCATCCTCTTCTGGACGTAGTTCACACATTCCTCTTTGGTTACCTTTATAAAACCATACACATCTGCTTCCTTCAAAGCAGGGTAGGTGCGGCAGTCGCCATCAGAAAGAACTGTAGTGTATCTCGGCTTATGACGCTCCCACGACCTCTGAAACAGAATGAGGGCAGCTTCCACTTCCATCTCTCCAGCTTTTTTTGTGCTGTTTTTCTGGCAGTGGTGGTTCGCTTTCCACTCGTCGTAGGACGGGTCACTTTCTTTAGGTGCCCGCTCGCAGCCGGCACAAAAATTGCAGAGCACGACATAATCGAGCACAAGCCCCGTAAACAACTCGATAACTGTGCCGACTCCGATGTGCGACGAGTGTCCCCTCGTCATCCAGGAGCCGTCGTACGACACAGCAATGTTGCCCGGGTTGCCGAGGTTCAGTTCCGCGTACAGTTCCCGAACCGGCCCCGCCGCGGTGGTCTAGTGGCTAAGGTACTCGGCTGCTGACCCGCAGGTCGCGGGTTCGAATCCCGGCTGCGGCGGCTGCATTTCCGATGGGGAAATGTTGTAGGCCCGTGTGCTCAGATTTGGGTGCACGTTAAAGAACCCCAGGTGGTCGAAATTTCCGGAGCCCCCCACTACGGCGTCTCTCATAATCATATGGTGGTTTTGGGACGTTAAACCCCACATATCAATCAATCATCAATCAATCGGTTCCCGAACCGATCGCGCCCACTCCGCGGTCAGCTTTTCCGACGCACGAACAGCTGCGGGCGTCAGTTTCGTCTTCACGTAGCTCTGCCACATTTTGTTGTGCAGGCCGCGCGAAGAAATGTTCATCGATGAAAAAACGTCGTTGAATGCCGTTTGCTGATTGCCAGTAGACTGCATAGCGCGCGCGCCCAAAACATTGATGGCAAACGGCTTTGCCTTGCTCTCGCCGTCAACGCGCGGCGAGCTCCATGCCACCGACACATCGCCGCAGGTCGCGCACGTAAGCAGTAGCTTTATGGCAAGGCCGTACTCCCTGTCCTCTTTGCTGATGTTTACATCACCGGAGCCCAATTTGCACTCACTGCACGCATCAGTTCGTTCACCTGGTCCAAACTCACGATCAAAAATCGTGTTTCGTCCAGCGGCGTGGCTGCGGCATCGTCGATATCGGCTAACAGGCCGCACTTGCGTTGTGTTGCTCCAGTTGAAGCGAGCTCTTGCAGCTTGTTTTCGGCGTTGCGACGCACCTCTGCCACTTCTAACGGGTGCAGCACTGCTGTGTCAAGACGAACGCGGCCGCTGCCGGATGCGTTATCTTGAGCGGGCGGCGGCGGAGGTGCTAGGCCTATGTTATCAGGGGCCTCGCCGCTGGCCACGGAAGGTGGGTCGCTTGCTCGTTCAAGGCTCCTCGCTGACGGGGAACGGCCTTTGAAGTTCTCGAGGAGCGACTTCTTTCTTTTTTTTGCCGTACTGATTCCTTGTGTGGAATTTCCTTCCGGCTTTCCACATCGCGCGCGATCCTTGGCTAATCCGTCGTTCTCAGTCCGAGCAATATGGCGCCTGACTGCGCTGCCGACGGCGCGAAGCAGACGACACACGCCGCTTGCGGCCAATCGCGTTGCGCTGTTTAGTCACGTGCGCTCGCCGGCGAATAGGAACGCGTATTTTTGCTTTTTTTGGCGCGTGTTTTCTACTCTACCAATGAGCGGACAGGAGCCAGAGTGGTGGGAAATTGAAGACCGAAGACCGTGCTTTCAAATGAGACCTAGATCACTGCGATACTGCCCGTGGCGCAGCTGCGGGGAATTATTGAAAAATTGCCATTTTGGCGTCAGAATCTCGCAAATCGGGCCCGTACGGCTTTTATAATTAGCTGTTACTGTTCAAGTACCAACTTTTCGGAGGAAAAACTGAGCAAACTAATAGAAAAATACCTGTAGATTTCAAAAATGACATCTAAAAAAAATGCGTTTTTGGGCAATTTTTCGGCCCCAAAGACCCATGTGCCCCCTTAAGAAAAGACGGGTGGCATTCAATTCGGCCATGACTTCCGCAGCAGAGGGCCGCACTGGTTCTTGTCCTCCTTATCGTCGTCACTGACAGCGACAGGTTCTGCTCTTCTCACCTGACATATTATGTCGCCATCCGTGAGGGCACTACACACCACTGCACTTAAGTCTACACCAACGTAGTCCACAAAGCAGATGTCTTCTAAAACGTCCACCATGGGGGCGGTGACGCCGTGTTCGAGCACTGGTGGCTCGTCAACTTGCAGAGCTTCGGTGCTGAAGCCACAGTGGTGAAAGCAATTTGCTATCGTAAGCGCTGTCGCTTGCTCCCAAGCACGCACAAGCATGTGTAGTGCACTTGGGAGCATCACTTGGTAGTTATTGCACAAAATAATTCGTTTCAACATATGACGCCGATAAAATGATTTTAAATTTCTAATTATGCACTGGTCCATGAGCTGCAGTACCGCTGTCGTGTTTGCTGGAAGGAAGGCCAGCTCAATGGCCTTCGTCTCAACGTTGACTTTATGAGCCGAACAGTTGTCCACTAGAAGCAGGACTTTGCGGCTGCAGCGTTCGAACTACTTGTCACGCTTCCCCAGCCACTGCGCGAACAATTCCCCCATCATCCAGGCCTTTTTGTTGCCCGCATAATCTGATGGGAGACACCGGATGTTCTTGAAGCAACGAGGACTTCTAGATTTTCCTATCACAAGCAGAGGCAACTTCTCGGTCCCGGTCATGTTCGCAGCAACCATCACAGTTATCTATTCTTTACTTTTCTTCCCTCCCGTGCACTTGTAGCCTTTATACGTGATAGTTTTGGCAAGCAGCAATTTGAAAAGTAAGGCAGTTTCATCCGCATTAAATATGTCCTGCGGAGAATACTTCTCCATGTAGCCTTGAAGCATTTCGGAGCGCCAACCTTCACATGTTTCCATGTTGACGGCGTTCATTTCACCCGATACAGCACGGAAAACGAGGTCGTAGTGCTCGCCGAAACAGTGCAACCACCAATCTGAAGCAGCGAAGTCATCGTAGTCTAGCTGCAGGGCAAAGTCCGCTGCCTTTGCCAGTATGACTGGGTCACTCAGTGGTATGTCCTGTGAACACATTTCCTTTATCCAAATGAGAAGCGCTTTCTCGAGGTCAGGATACTTTGCGGGTCGTAACCTCCTCCTTTTGCTTGCAACTTCTGCCTCTAAGGCATCTTCAATAGTCCTCGTAATTTTTATATAAGTAGACAGTGTCGTTTTCGGTGTCCCATGCTTTTTTGCGATATCTTGCTTAGGCAAGAGTCCGCCGTCCACTTCTCACAGGATATCAGCTTTCTCCTGAAGTGTTTTGGCACGGTATTTGCCGCGCGCACACGCCATCAAGTTGAAGAAGCAGAATCACGACATACGGGAAACTACTACCAATGCTACCGCAACAAACTTTAGCAGAGGCCCAACACCAACACTAAGAATCGCGACAGTCGGAAGCTACTTTCAGCCACAACAACCTAGGTGTACGATGCACGCCCAAGACAGTGACTGCAGAGAAGGCTGGGCGAAGCTACGACGCACCCGATTTGCTGTGTGCTGGTCATGCCATCTGTCGTCTAACAGCGACAACTACGCAGGATTTTCAAAGGCTCCGAGATTGGTGCTTAAAAAAAAAAAAAAACGAATCTTGGAGGTTACGTAGGACAGAGAGCAGGCAGCTGCCGAGAGAGAGAGATTGTGCGGGGAGGGGGTGAAGAGTAAGTGGCGCTATTTTATGCACGCTGGCCTCCATGCCAGTTTCCCCGTTTTTCTCTTTGCTCCCTGTCAACGTCGCCTCGTAACTTGGCAGCCGCCCTATCAAGTGACGAGCCAAGCCGCCGGCGCGATGGCGTGTAGTTGAATTATTCCCGGCGGAACCTACTGGCGTTCGAATTAACGGGCTTTTTTATTCATAGGCTTGTATGGAGCTTGGTTTGGACCATAACTTACAGTTCGAATTATTCATAAATTCGAATTATTGAAGTTCGAATTAACGAGCTTTCACTGTAATATGATTCTGCAGTGAAGCTCTTGAGAGCACACCTATCCACCATAATAGCTATGGTGCTGTGGTGCTAAGCACGAGGCTGTCAGATTCCTAGTGATGGTGGCTGCGTCTCAGCTATGCTCGTCATACATGCTAGATACCAAACGGTTGACATTCGTATCCCTGCAATTTATGTGAAGAATTTGTCCATTGAGTCACATTCTACAAGTGGGACAAAATTTTGTGAAAGGACTTGCAAAGTGCATTGCTGTCAGGCACATCGAAGATTTGGCAGGATAACAAAGGGGCTCAAATGTGGTGTACAAAACTTTTAATAGATGCCATTAGTGCCCGCAGCCAATGTATCAGTGCCAGGTGTTTACAATGGTTCGTTTTATAATTAGGTCATCCCAAAGTATTACATGAGCTCAAATAATGTTTGTATATGCTGTACAGTGAAACTAGTGACAGTGTATCCTTTCAGATGAGAACATTGGGGGCACGTTTTCATGAAAACTGTTTACTAGAGGGGCAGCAGGCATTGCGGCAAAATTAATTTCTAAATTAATGGGACATTTAAGGTGAGAAAGCCTGGGTTGGATCTCTGGCGTTATTCATTGTTCTAAAAAGGTGTTGTCCCAAGATGAGGTGGAAAATGACCAAGAGTGAACAGTTTTTTGCCAATGTTCTGCTAGTTATTTTCTCACCATAACGTAGCAGGGCTGCCTCTAGCCTTCATAAAAACGTGTGAGCTTTCCCTATCACCCTTGCATCAACAAGCATCCTTACAAAGATGTGTTGAAGGGAAAACCATTAAGGCTATTTTCGATGTTATCGATATTTTTTTAAGGTTGAGAATAAAGATTTGCTCGCACCTCCTTCAACTAAGTAATGATTTCATTAGCTCCCACTGGCAAGAATAATGTAATCTACTTTCCTTGCAGACGCATAAGGTCGTGCCGTGGGCTTATTCAGGTGGTCTGTACCCGTTTCTTGCGCAAGGCTGAGTGTCACTGCCTGTAACCTTAGTTTTAGGATTATACTATGCCCAGATTATGACTGTTTTGCTTGGTTCTCTGAAAGTCGTATAATCAGGGTTTCACTGTACTTGCATTCGCTTTCCTCCATTTTTTTTTCGATGCATTGGGTCTTCTCAGCCAGCCCAGTTTATTGTTCCGTTTGTACTCTTTCTGTAATAGTTTGTTTCTGTAATATCGCTCAGGGAGGAAATAGTATTAAGGCACTGGCTACTGTTGTATAGCTCTAGAAGAGGATGCTTGCATGTGTGAGCTCCTACCTGGTGGCCAAAATCAGTGGGCTGTTGTGCCTGTTGATAGTTTAACATCTTTGCCCACATCATATTTGGCATAAAAATGTGGGGCCATTAAAAGTGATAGGAAAGAGCGAGCGATATCCACATATGGATTGCCTGCCACGTGCGGCAGACTTGTGCACGTCGAAATGTGCCATGTGCATCCTGGGTGTGGGTTATTGGGATTGCACGTCTGTGGTGGTACTGACTGTCGTACAAATAAGGAACGTTTTCTTGCCGTTTCTGAGATGGTTTTTCTGTAAATAGAGTACAGACGTCCATTCCATGGCTTTTCGATTTGCAGCGTCTCGCCTCCCGGCGGTGATTTCTCGGACCCAGTCACATCTGCGACACTGGGCATTGTGCAAGTGTTCTGGGGACTGGACAAAAAGCTGGCTCAGCGCAAACACTTCCCGTCGGTAAACTGGCTCATCTCGTACAGCAAGTACACGCGTGCCCTCGACGACTACTATGAGAGGAACTTCCCAGAGTTTGTGCAGCTCAGGACAAAGGTGAGGCGTTGCATGCCTATTCCGTGATTGCTTCTTCCTGCTCTGTATAGTGGTTTGTAATGGTTGAGTTTCATGGCGTGATTTCAGGTGCGATTGAAGTGTGGCTAATTGGATGCGAGCCTCATATTGACACATGCCCAGCAGTATCAGTCATCAAATCTTGCTGCTGTGTGTTGCTACCATGAGCACAAAAAACTCTTCACATGGCGCGTGCACGTCAGGCAATCTCCGTTCAGCGTGTAGTCACATTGTGTTTGATTTCCACAAGCGAGGCCTGGTGGCCCTTCACTCCACTCAATTGGCGAAAATTTCACTTGGCTGTGCAGGGGTTCTCATTCAACAAAAAACGCCCATTTGTAAACAAGCAGAGGCCGCTTAACATGCAGGAAGTCTATGGCCGCAGTTTCGCTCAAAATGTTTCTGCTTGAAAACTTTGTTAATCAACTTGAGAAAATTAGGCGCAGTCATGACTACACGAAAATTATTTTTAATGTTCTGTAATTTAAGAGTAAAAAACTTGCAAAAAAGTCATGCAATTCATGTCACGGGGAGAAATGTTGTCTGGCAAACCAGTTAGCACGGAGTGGAAACACTGCTGCATTTTTTTCATGTGGGTGCTCTCGCGTTCGCAGCATTGTGGGCGTTTGCCGCGGGATGCTTTTTTTTCGTCTGTAGGAAAATGCACCTTGCGATTGTACAATCTACCTTAATAAGGGATGTATCATTGTTGACTTGATAAGGGCTGTGGAACCGCGCCAGTGTGTATATAGCCCTTTAGATACAACACATGATGGGCAGATGTAAGACCTGGTCTTGGCCAGTGGCATTTTCTCTTGGCTTGTGCAATACTGCACTTTGTTTTCCGCATCTGGGCCTACCGTGTCATTAATTTTCTTATGCTAAAAAGTAACAAGGGTTTGTTTGTCTTTTTGCATACTTTCTTTTAGTGGGGATAGACTGTACTTGAATTCTGTTGCCAGCAAGCTGAAGTATGGGCTGATGAATGTGAGCGCGTGGCTTTGGTAGCCCGCCATGACAATGGGGGTGAAACACGCACGTGTGTGTACTGAGATAAGGTGCATATTATAGAACCCTTGTCAGTCGAAAGTAATGGCAAGACTTCACTATTGCATTCCCCATACTTCTATGAATTCAATTTATTGGTGTGAAAATTTATTGGGTCTCTTATGTCTCATAGCCAGAGTTGCTTCGGTACGCTAAACACTGCAAGCCAACCTTATCAGCGATGTTAAAAATTGTGTAGAAGACAAAAAGCGAGTCTACATTTTTGTAACTGGCATTTAAGTTGTACGGGACCACATAGCTGTGTTTTGGATTTCCTTCTCTTTCCGATCAAAGCTTGAGTCTGCACTGTCGCTCAGTATACGTTCTGACATTTTTTCAACAGTGCCAGCAGATCCTGCAGGAGGAAGAAGACCTTTCTGAAATTGTCCAGCTTGTCGGAAAGGTAAGTTGAGATTTCCTGCCCTTGATGTCGCTTTGCTTAAGCGGTCGCGCTTTTGTAAATTCAACTTAATGTATGAGATTTTCAGTATTGGTGTATGCGAAGTTCATTTGCTTGGCAGCTTTAATTTGAAGCGAGTAATATGACTGACAATTTGAAATAAGAGTGCATTGCTGTCTAATGGGAAAACTGCTTGCTGATGGAAGCATTTGGTTAATTTTGCAAAGCCAGGAAAGGCTAATCTTGAGCGAAAGAACTGCCTGTGGTACTGCAGGAAAAAAAAAATTGAGAACAGTTCTTGTTTGTGTGTCTGGATGTGCAATTTATTGCTCTTCAGTTGTGTTGGTTTGCCTGAGGGGCAGCTGGGCATCTGGGATTGTTGCTAGGAAAAAAAAAAAAAGGACAGCGTGATAACTGTTTCTACAATTTAATGACGGTATACCATGATCTACCAATGCAATAAGTAACGCGACAAAGAAATGTAATACTTACTTGTAAAATATATATGCTGAATAAATAATATTAGTAAAAAGTAAAAATATGGTTTCAGAAAAATATATGTTACGTGAAACGTGCTTCGGCATATCAAGAATGTTGCTTCCGACTGTTTAAAAGATTTGGCCTTTTAGAAGGCTGTCAAACTCAATGTATATAATTTTTTGGACTTTCCACGGTTGGTTTAAATGACGTAGTAAATTGATTCTACTGTAGTGTCATAAGGCAGGGTACTGCAGAATACAAGTGAGAAGCAGTTCACAGTCACCGGTACTGAATACTACTGTGTGGATTCTGCATATATTTGTCGCGTCGTGCATTGTCATGAGCATCAACCATCAAAATTATGTGCAAGTTGATACAGCGTTGTGACGTTGTCTCCTCGCTGTCCCTGCACAGGCGTCCCTGGCGGAGACTGACAAGATCACGCTCGAGGTTGCGCGGCTTTTGAAGGACGACTTTCTGCAGCAGAACAGCTACACCCCGTACGATCGCTTCTGCCCGTTCTACAAGTCTGTGGGCATGCTGCGCAACATGATTGGTCTGTACGACCTGGCCAAGCATGCGGTCGAGTCGACTGCCCAGAGCGAAAACCGCATCACTTGGGCCCTGATCCGCGAGGCCCTCGGTGACCTCCTCTACCAGCTCAGCAGCATGAAGTTCAAGGTAATCTTTACAGCGGCAGCTGTTATAGCAGCCAATTTCGGTGGTGTAATTGTTCGGTGCTGTAGGTGTTCGTAACCGCTATCATGCACCAGGAGAAAAGAAGTATAGGATCTAGTGGGATTTGACTCTAGGCCCTTTGCTTGAGATTTGAGTGTTATATCACAGAGCCAGGCCGATGCTTTAAACTACCTTGTGAAATTACCTTATACAGGCATCACGTCGAAAAAGGAATTGCACTAACAGATGCAATACAGTTGAAATCACTCGCAACAATACTGAAGTGCTTCCAAAATTATATGAACTGACAATTGCTGCACGCAGGGTGCATGAAAAAAAGAAAAGCAAAATAGGCGGACGAAAGGCTGTTATGAGAAAACTGGCTATGCCACCTGACATCATGGATAAGAACGACAAAGCTGCCGATCTTTTTAGACATGTTTTAAATGTTTGGACGCTTTTGCGGGACTGCTGAGAACCCCGGAGGGCTAATGATATACGACGTTGGAAGCTTTGGATGCAGAAACTTTTCGAATTCTCAAATAGGGGTGTGTAAATATTTGAAATTTCTAATATTTTTCAAATAGTGTTTGCTATTTGAATCAATTCACACTGCAATTTTACTAGGCTTCTGCGAATAGTGAATTTTTAGTTCGAAGCGTACAGTAAGTTCGAAGCTAACAAGATTTTTGTTGTAAACTCAATGAAGTGTGGTAATACAATGATTACTTCATAAGGTGGCAGGAGGTCCTTAAAGTTTGATATGGAAGCAAGAGTGAACATATTCAAATGTATTTTGGGGTTATCACTCTAACCTGCTACCATCCTGGTACGATGACCACCACAGGAAGACTCAAGCCTGAATTTTTTAAATCCTGCATGGGGATGATTTTTTTGTCCACTAGTTTTGTTTCTGTGCAATATGTACAGATTTCTTCTGCAGGGTCGTGGCACAGTCGTGCGTACTGCACTATTTTTCTGTCATGAACATTACTTTCATTAAGCTGATTCGCCATATTGTACTTCATACTCTGTCATAGGACCCGGCAGTAGATGGTGAGAAGAAGATCAAGCAGGACTTTGAGGAGCTTTTTGAGAACATCCAACAGGCCTTCCGCAACTTGGAAGACTGAGAAGGACCTCCCTACTACCAGCACTGCCACGGAGGAGCCAAAGAACTGAGTTGTCGATCGCTTGGCCCCGTCAAAGCTTCTGGCGGCATTGTTTCCTTCAACCTCATTCCAAGTAGGCTCGTACCATACCTCGTGTCAGAATGTCCACGAACGTACGGGGCAGACAAGTCTGTGTGTATTAGATGTTAGTGGCCTGCCTTTAGCAGTGCGGAAGCTGTGAGCAGCAATACCATATGTTCTTTTTTTTTCTGTTTACATTGTTTTGGTGCTCGTCTGTCTGTGTACATACCTAAACAGTTCAGTTTTGTATATTTTTTTTCTAAGTTAAAGCAACCTTTTTCTACTTTTATCATGTCAGTTTTGTTACCTCATGTAATGAAGAGGCCTTTTGTGGCGATACTGAATTTGAAAGTGATATATTTGGACTCTTCCATTTACTTTTTCTTTACATTGTGTCTGATAATGGAAGCGTCAAGAATAAAGTCTATATGCGGATGTTGCAAGGCTTTGTGGTGTCTCTTCCATGATGAAAGCTTGACAATTGGTTTGCTGTGTTTACTGGTGGAAATGCTTTGCTCCTTGGATTTCGATTTTGTTCAGATCGGGAGTGTAAAAATGCACATGATGTTATTTTACTACGAACCGATTTGCTTGCATTAGGTGTTCAGAAAAGCTAGATTCTACAAAAATATTCTGATGAAAGCTGTTTGGCAGCGTTTTTCGCATTATCATTTCATAATTATACACTCTGACCAGCAAGCTTCCCCTTATGCTAAAGAAAACAAGCACCATTAAATTTGGTTTGAGTCTGTCTCATTGCATGGTGATGTTGAGTGAAACATGGTAGGTTGCAAAAAATTTCACAAAAAGTCTTCTGGAGTTAGAATGGTTTGTTGCAGATCGCAGAAATTGGTTATGTCATCACATGGCATCTCTTGGTCAACAGTGGGCCAATTCCGGAGACAGTGCAGTGACACATGAGCGGCAGAAGGCTTGATCAGGCAAAAGAATACAGTCTACTGAAGATGTCGAGGCAACTTAATGCCTCTGGCTCTGCAGTTCGTAACTTGCAGGAAATCTGGTCCCTGATTGCGTAACTTGACTTGCCGAGGGTGTAGCAGGCTTGTGCCTTCAAAGTGTTGCAGAGAGCGTAAAGTTCTGCGAAATGTTTGCTAAGGGCTCTAAGAAGTCTGTGAAACTTCATTTCGTTCATTCAGAGGCGCAGTAACAATCGTCATTAGCCACAACATCCATGGAGTGTGCAGCTAGGCAAGTGCGCGTATTGTCTTTCAGATGTTTAATGGGTACATTGCTATTCTGCATTCCTTTGAAAAAGGCACACACAGACAAAACTCTCATGAGGCATCCTAAGGGTCGATTAAATGCAAAACACATGTGCTGCCTAGTTGCAGTTAATTTGTCCTTAATGAGTGCAGGGTGCCTTCTGTAACAAGAGTGCAACACCTGCTGAATCTTGCTTTATGGCGTATTCCGAATTCATGTTAAACCAAGCTTGATAACCGGCTCATTGAAATGCATTTTGTCTGTGCTTCGTTGACCGAGGAAAAACTGTGCGTGTTAGTGCAGGGAGAATAAAGCAACCTCTCCAAAAAATGTGCTAACAATGTGGTCTCCTCAAACTTGCTGAAGGCATCTTGTCTGCTATAGTGCGGGCATTTGCAGTCATGTCGCAAAATCGGATGGACCTGTATTGATCCAAGCTAGTACGAAAACCACGAGAAAATTGTCTATCACTATGCCTGCCCAGTGCGCTTTCCCGCATCGCTTACGAAGGTAGGAAGAGTGAGCTGTGGCACAAGGAGTCAAGGTTACGGTGTACATATAGCATGAAAAGAGCCACTCGGGCAGGTGTGTAAGGTTACTCGGGAAATCGCGGTTCTTTATTTCCAGTACACAACTGTAAGACATGGGTTCGTGCCATGCTGAAACAGTTGCTCCTTGCGAAGCTAAGTGATAAACATCTTTTCAACGCTGCATTATTGTCATTTACGAGGAGGAACCAGTGCAGGAAAGAAAGGTTTCCTCAAGGTTGCGAAAGAGAAAAAGGAAAACAGACCCCAGTGTGAAGTGCTGGTATGCATGCACAAATCAATTCATTCACTACACTTTCTCAGTGCTTATGTTACATATGTAGGCCATTCACAGTGTGCCAAATTACATGACCATAAAGTTAAGGCCCAGTGCACAAAGTACACTTTCTTTTACGAAAAAAGAAAATACGCAACAGAGTTTTCTGATCTGGCTCATCGCAATTTTGGGCGCCAAAGGTTGCACCACCCCAGGCAAAAATGGGCAACTTGAAATGCAACTTGTTTTGACTGGAATGAACAGGGATCAACTGGCTCCAGTTGCAAACAAACTGGAAAGCAACTGCAGTTCCAGCTGGTATTAAACTGCAAAGATTTCAAGTTGAACAGGGAGCAACTTGTCCCCCAGCTGGATATAAACTTATTCAAGTTGGAATTTGAACCAGAAACATGTAATTTCACTTGACCTGAATGCAATTTGCACCAGTTTGTAATTATTTCAATTCTACTGGAAGCAAGTTTATCTTAAGGGGGGACGCGGCACTTCGGGACCGAAAATCAACCAAAAAATCGAGTTTTCGCGGACCTTCTTTTCGCGTTCCCGACATCATTGCGCACCTATTTACAAAATTTCATAGCCGAATACCATCAACTTTTATCGTTATTCAACTTTAAAAAACCGAAAACGGGCGTCCTGCCCTTTAAATTGAGGGCGAATAGCGCAGGTTTCGGCTCTACGATACGCGGGAACTACGCGCTCGATCGGCGCCATTTTGGTCTTGTTTGAAAGAACGCGTTTTCAGCTGTTTTTTTTATTCAGTAAGCAACATTGAGCGTTTCCCCGGCTCGAAAAACGGGGCCTCAAAGACGAAGAGCCGCGCTCACTGTCATTGGCTAAACGGCGCACGTGACTGAAATGGCGCTTTCCGGTTGGCTGGAAGCTCGCGACTTGCGCCTGCATACGCGACCCGACGCCATTTTGAAAGGGTTACCGCTGTGACGCCTCGAAATCGGCAGCTGAAGCTTCTGATCGTATCGCCATGCCTGGAAACGCAAAAAAGTATCGGACCGTGCACGCATTTGGTCGCAGGAAACGCAAAGGTCGTGGGAGAAAGTCTACGAAGTCATCGGAGCCCTTGGTTGACTCCAACGAACGATGTGTCGACGCTCCGCGGCCGTTCAGCGATGGTGCGACCGAGCGCGTTGCCTCCGACGACGATGACGGTGAAGCGAACTCCGGACGACTACGAATCGACGCCAAGGTGGTGACAAACGCCGAAGTTGAAGAAAATCATGCCCGGGAGAAAACGACGCTCGACCGGCTTTCATCGGCGCCAGCAACTGCACGGAAAATTGACTTTTTCACCGCGAGTTGTAGCGAGGCAACCGCACAGGACTCGGACCACGCTGCTCCTTATCTGCTTATGCATCTAAATATCCTAAACGCGATAATGGGTGCCTTGTGTTGCAAAGCCTGCCACGGACCGGCTACGATCGTCAGAGGGGATCGGGACTACGGACTTGCCGTGAAAGTGCTAGTGCAGTGTGAAAGGTGCGGCGAGATCGCGAATGAATGGACTTCGCCCCGCGCGAACGGCACGAAAACGTGCAATCCGTTTGAAGTAAATCTTCTCGCTTCGAGGGCGATGGTGGCTACCGGCAACGGCCAAACGAAAATGAACGATATTTTCGCAACAATGGGCATCTCACACCGCGGTATGCACCACAAGACGTTTCAGCGGCATTTGAAGAACACGCTGGCACCCGCTGCAACGCGAGCGGCTGAGTCCGCTATGAGCGAATGTGCGGAAAAGGTTAGAACAATTTATGATGACTTGTGCTTCGGCCACCGGGGCAATATTACCGTTAGCTACGACGGCACGTGGAAGACGCGAGGCCATTCTTCCCACATCGGCGTGGGCACAGTTATCGAATTATTTATTGGCTACGTGTTGGACTACGTCGTTCTTTCCAACTTTTGCCTAGGCTGCGAGGTGGGCCCAAAGCCTAGTAGTGAGGGCTATCAAGAATGGAAGGCTAACCACAAATGCCAAAAAAATACGAACAGCAAAGCGGGGCAAATGGAAGTGGAGGCGGCTCTAATTCTATTTCAGAGGTCGCTTGAACGCCATGGCCTGCGCTACACAACTATGCTGTCTGATGGAGACTCTAGGACATTTTGCGCCATACAAGACGCCAAGGTGTATGGTTACATTGACGTGCAGAAGGAAGACTGTATTAATCATGTACAGAAACGGATGGGCACCGCATTGAGAAACCTGGTGCAGAAACAAAAGTGCGATGGGAAAAGAGGCCTTGGTGGGAAAGGCAGGCTCACAGGTGAGCTGATCACCAGGCTGAGCACATATTATGGCCGGGCTCTGAAATCGCATGAAGGTGACGTGGGCGAGATGCAAAAGGCTGTGATGGCCACATACCGCCACGTCACCTCCACTGATGAATGCTCGGACCACAGTCTGTGCCCAGCTGGTGAAACTTCATGGTGTCGGCACAATGCCGCAAAAGCAAAGGGTGAGCCCGACCCCAGGCATGCCTACAATCTACCGAAAGACGTGGCAGAGGCATTACTACCGGTTTATACCCGGCTTTCGGAAAGAGCCCTGCTTCAGAGGTGCGAACGCGGCAAAACGCAGAACTCCAACGAGAGCCCACATTCGGTAATCTGGAGTTTGGCCCCCGAGGAGCTCCATGCGTCCCTGTTCGCTGTTGAAGCAGCTGTTGCAGAAGCAGTGCTGCGCTTCAACACGGGCAATTTGAATTCTGCAACGGCAATCTTAGGTGAAATGGACATGAATGCGACAAGTACTGGTGCCAGGAGAGCGAGAGAAAAAGACCACCGTCGCAGCAATGTCTCCAACAAGAACAGAACAGCCTCATTGGAACTCCGGAAGCTAGTGAAGAGGAGGCATGAGCACAGAATGCATTCATACTATGCTTCTGGTGCGTTTTGAGGTTGTCTTGTTGCATCTTCTGCAATAAAAATGTGTGCCCACGTTTTTTCTCGATTTCTCAAAACGACAATTTTCATGTGCTTCCCATTATGCCGGAGCAATATCTCTTGTTCTATCTGGGTTATCATTACGATTTCTTTTTTGTTTCGAAGATAAATGCAGGGGATGTGTCGTAAAGTAAGTTTTATTGTAATAATTTTTGGAGAAAATTCTCTAAATGGATCTTTTGTTTCAAGTGTAGATGGGGAAATTTTTCATGTCATATTCAACATCCCACAACTTTGCTTCGAAATAGCCCAGAACAATGATTTATACTTTATTGCACACTGTGAACATACCGAATTGGTTCTATAGGTTGCACATCAATATCCAAGTTACAGTTAATTAGCTAATTAGGCCTTAATTGAAAAAGTTGCAGTTCATTATATCTTTAAAACTAATTGTCACAGCAAAAAAAGAATTAGATTTTTGAAATCAGCAGTAAAATCTACATAGGCTCTCCAAATTTGACTGAGGTACTCGCAAAAATAAAAGTGTTTTTGGAAGGTGTAGCATCCCCCCTTAATAGCACGCCGTGGTTCTAGTTGTAAACCCGCTTAGAAGCAACTGACTACTGACATGGCCGCTCGACGAAGACGCATGGTACTGGATCCAACCAAGATCAAACTGGATTTGTCTGGTTGTACCGTAAGTTGTGGATGGATTAAAGCACGGATTGAAAGCTGGAGGTGGACGATAGCTGGTGATGGTGACAGTACTTGGACATTTACGAAACAGTGCAACGACGATGCGGACAAAGAGAAAAGGGGAGGGACAAACCACAGCGCTGACTCGCAACTAAATATTTATTAATTCACTTGAAAGGAAAAGAAAAAGACTGCCACACCTGTCAAAGCAAAACAAATACGGGGGACCCTTAACCTTTGCCTTTAACAGTTCAATGCGATAGCGATGTCCTGTCTCTAGTGCATACTTCAATTACTTAGGGCATACTTTTTTTATTGTAAGATGTTACTCGAGAACCTTAAATTGGGGATTACTACAATGTAATGATAAAGTTGAAAGTGGCTTGTGTGAGTGAAGCTTTCGCATATGGCTGCATTGTGCGTAATGGGTAGCATGCTTTAAACCACAAACAATTATGCATGTGAAATCTCTTCAAACTTGGTAGGCACCCATTGTGGTCTAACTAGCTTGCTGGTAGCTAGCTTAAAGATAATATGCAAAGTAACGTGTGTGCCCTTTGTAATGGGTGGCTGGCTTTAAATCGCGAATCTTTATGACAGGTCTGTATCCCGGAATTTTTTTCGAGGGAGCCCAGGGCACCCTCGCCTGGCTACGAGCCTGCGTTATATAATCACATGTTCTGTTGCCCTATGGTAACGTGCGCTTGTACCACGCAGTATTACTGCGATATTACATATATGTTGTATTGTGAAGCATGCATACAATGCACATGTGTTTGTGAAGCACTTTCACTGCATTTCCAAGCAGAGGGAGTTATTTAAACTGTTCTTCTAAGCAGTCGCGTGGCTGTATGGTACAAAATCTGCTTGTCATGCAGACGGCCTAGATTCATCACTTTGACCTGGTA